AGACAATGCAATTGTTTTCTCCTATTTTAAACTTAAATTTTTGTGTTCCATTGGCAAAGTGTCTCACGTAGCTCCTCCATTCAAGATAAATGCACTTATTTAGATTTCATTTTTTTTGCATTGTGCAGATTGTTTGTGCTCTATTATTATTTACATATGTGCCACACAGACATTTACATGCTTGGTCCATGGACAGTTGCTCTACGCTGTAAGAAGAAAGAGAGCCAGTGAGACGGCAGGATAATTGGATTTTTAAATGTGTTGATGGGGCCGACTGGCTGTAACAACAGCAACCACAGAGGACTGCTCTCTCACCGCGCTCCACGCAGCCTCACTCTGCGCCGCTTATTTCTGCAAATATTCAGTTTCATTTTCAATCTACCTAATTAATTCTCTCTCTCTCTTTCTCATATTCACCTAATCAGAGTCAATTATGGAGTGTCCTCAGAATTGTCACGGAAACGGTGATTGTCTCTCAGGAATCTGCCACTGTTTCCCAGGATTTCTGGGGCCTGACTGCTCTCGAGGTAAATGCTCGTAGAAAAACACTCAGCCACCCACAGAGAAGCAGTTATTGTTCCTAGATTGTTATCCCGGCAGAGGACGTGACCTGAGCACCACAGAGGCTCCCCTCGCCGCTCCGTACACTCGCCGCTCCGTTTTCACTGTTCCTCATGTTCCTCGACTTTGGCTCGCTGCACGTCATTTTAGACGCACCTGTTCACGTCTTAAACCCAGAGCCAAATGGAACCACATATGCAGTATCTCTGCCCCCCCCCTCAAAAAAAACTACTGTATCATAAGACTGCAAACCTGTTTTGTATGTAGAACCAGAACAATAATATCCCCACATGTTGTTTTTTTAGAAGACAGCAGTGATATAAAAGTGCAAGGAAGCTGTCACAGGAAGGAGAGACCAGGAATAAAAATTGCTTCTTTTTTTTTTTTTAGGTGCAACAGTGCTTGAAAATAGGACAGTGTCAGAAAGTGTCTGTGGCTGATGTGTGGGGGATTATAATAGAAACTAATTGGTGTGTCGAGCATTGTTTGGCACTGGTGTTTTCTGGCCTTGTTTTTACCCCCGATTCATCAACCAAGTAAGCAAGCTGTTCACATCTCAGAGGAATAATAGAGTTATTTCACTCACACAATAAAGACGCTAACTATAAATATTCAGATAACTGCCGCTCAGGGCGCCAGGAGCTGTTTATTCCGTTTAAATCATAAATAATTCAGCTCGGACTAATTGCAGATTTTGTAGCTTTTAGAAAAATGGCTCAGGTTAGGGTGATTTACAGCCTGACTTGACTGCTGTCTGTCTCTGTGTGTCTGACTCAGCCGCCTGCCCGGTGCTGTGCAGCGGGAACGGCCACTACTCCCGCGGCCGCTGCCAGTGCTACAGCGGCTGGAAAGGCACCGAGTGCGACGTGCCGTCCAACCAGTGCATCGACATCAACTGTGGAGGACATGGCATCTGTATGATGGGAGCATGCATCTGCAACACGGGGTATAAAGGAGATAATTGTGATGAAGGTAAGAAGATTTCAGAAGCTAATAAGGAACTACTGGAACTTAGATATCTGTACCTTAGTTTCACCATTAAAATGGACTATAGAGAAAACACTGATGATGACAAACTGCTGGAAAATGTTCATTTGGATGCTTTAGATTAAAGCCTGATTGATGCTCAGAAACCAGGTCGTCTGCATGTTTGTTGCAATTAGCACAGATATAAAACCCCCCTCCTTCTGCAGACACCAGTGGCAGCTGGGGGAGTTTTTTTCTTTACAGGGGGCGCTATAAATTCAATATAGACATATGCCAAAAACCAATCAAACGTTCACACCAGTATATTTATATGAATCCCAACAACAAAAAACATTATAAAACAAAACATTATTTTATGTACAGGTTTCCTTTTTGTACATAAATCTTGCCTCTGATGCTTTGTGAAGGTAAATCTGTGTTTTGCATGGTCCAATATTGTGGCACTAACCTATGAAAAAAAATTACTAGTTTAATAATGGAGAAGCTATTAGTCAGCTTTGTATTTTTTTATATATAGAAACTATTTATTTTCTGAGAATATGTTTATTTAAGAGCAACTATGCAGATTGAGAAACATGTAGAAAAAATAGACTATATTCTATTATTTTCCATGTGAATCCCAGATGTTAATTCTTCTTAAAAAGTGCTTTAAATCAGTCCTATCTGTCTTTATCCATGCTGGCTCAGATCCTGAAATTTAAAAAAGGAGGCAGGGAAAGCAGGATAAAGCCTTAGCCTCGCTGCATGCAGTTAGCCAAGCCTTGGAGCTGAACCAGGTCCTGGAGATGGATGTCTCTCTCTTTCTCTCTCTCTCTCTCTCTCTCTCTCTCTCTCTCTCTCTCTCTCTCTCTCTCTCTCTCTCTCTCTCTCTCTCTCTCTCTCTCTCTCTCTCTCTCTCTCTATCTATCTCTCTCTCTATCTATCTCTCTCCAATGCTCCAATGAGCAAAAATACACTTCCTGTCACCTCAGGTCGAATCTTAGCTAAGCCCTCGGCCGTCCCATACCTCTGTATTGCAGAGGAGCTACTGCACATGGACAACTTTTAACGAGAGTCAATGGTCAAAGATTTTTGCGCCCTACGGCGGAAATACGTCACCAATCCGATGAAAAATGTAATGATGCTTTACTAGTCATTAAAGATTAAATATATATTTTGCACATTTAAAAAAAACAACATAATACATTTAGAATCATTATAAGGATCTTTGGGTGGGTGGGGCAGTGCCCTAGCACCCTCTATTGGCCAGCCACCACTGGCAGAATATCTGGTGCACAATTGTATGTGAACGCAGACACATAGCATTGCATGGAGAAGAGACAGGAGGCCTCTGATTGGTCAAATCTACATCTGCACTATACTATGCGTATTTCCTGTTTGGTACCTTACCCGCTTGTTTTGTTTGTATAATCGCCATTGTGGAAAACGACTTGTGAAGATGGACCAGCTTGAAGAGCGAGGTTCACAAAAAAGTGAGGAAGTACCCACATCTGTATGATTCGTTCTCCACACCACAAGGACAGCACATATTCAAGCAATTCATGGAGGGAGATAACGCCATTGTTGTTGAATGAACTCCGTAACCAGAAGAGAAACACACCACCCACCCCACCCACAATCCTAGCTAGTTCCTGATTTTCCGTCTTGTGTTGTGGCATGGAATAACATAACGCAGACTATGCTTCAATATTGGGCATAAATCAAACGTGTCTGCATCATACCTGTGACAAGCTAACTGCGACACACTGCTGCAGGAGGATAACCAGCCCTTTAGTTGCTGCTTTAAGCTCCTAAATTAAATCTTAAAACACTTAGAATGACCCTCCAGCTCAATGACGTGACGCTCTGATGACAAACCAAAGGGCTTTGAACATTTTAGACCCGTTGGAATGAGCAAATGAGGCAAACTTCATGTAGAAAAACAAATCAATTTCACCTGCACTGAGCAGGAGGATAAAACTACGATGTCTATGAAGACACAAGCAGATTTTCAATGACTGAAGAGGCCTTTATTGATGCTAGCTGCAACCAAACATCCTTAATGTTTGTTACGTTCTCTGCAAGAATCCAGGATTTTGTTCTTGTTCTCATGGTGACAAGAACAAAAGGAAGGCTAGCAGAGCCACGACAGAGGAGACATTTATCAGGTCAATGAAGGAGGAGAGCAAACTGCTTTTACTTTACATAGAACGATAACAGAATCAATCTAAATCTAGTCACACTTTTGTTCTCAGAAGGCTGTAGGTAAGGAGTTCTTCCCGTGTGTCGGGAACAAGCAGGATGACGTCCAATGACAGGGCAGTGAGAACAAAATGACATCATTTTGGTTTTTACAGCTGTGGGAACAAGCACAAAATTCTCACTTCTGGTGGAGTCTGTAGCGACCTTTAAAAAAAGGTTTAAAGAATAAAAAAGGTCATCTTCAAAGTCCTATTTTGCCTCATGACATGTTAAACCTTATTAGAAATGGCTCCTGTTTCCTCTTATGGCATTTTGAAGCTCCTCTTATAACCTCGTTCTGTTCCAGCAGTGAAAAAACCAAACGACTGGACTTTTCCCAGGTCGGATCATTGTAACCTTTAGCATATTAATGTCACGGTTCTCCCCTTTTGGGGACTCTGAGATTTTAGTTTTCAGTTATTCTGTTTTTCTGATCTTTGGTTTATTTTCCATTATATTCAAGCAGTCTTAAGTTACTCTCTGCTGCTTGGCTTCCTTCTAGTTAGTTCCACCTGCTCCTTATTCAGCACAGTCCATCCTTTGTTTTTGTCCTTACATAAACCAACTCTGCAGTCACTCACTGCTGGTTCCTCGTTGTTGTTTTGTTGCTTTCTAGTCTCTGGCCCCCTAAGTGAGTCTGCTGGTTTTTGGTTCTCAGTATTTTTGTGCTTTTTGGATGTTTGCCTCAGTTTTTCTCCATGAAACCTACAAGAACTCATCTCTGCATTTGGGTCCTCAAACAACCACACCCTCCAAGTTGACAATTTAAACATGACAAAGAAATAATTTGAAAGTCAATAGACTCTCCTGAGATGTTGGACATTATTAAGGGGGAGGGGCTTTTTTACAATCCTTGCAAAACCTTTTTTAAAACTTATCAGAAGAGCTCAGTCTGGTTATTCTTAGCTCACCTTAAAAGTCAGGGTTAAAGGATTAGATCAACATGGAGAAGACACACTGAAAAAAATGGAAATCTAGATAAATTTTGAAATGAGGAGGTAAAAGAGACATTTTGCCAATGGAATAAGACAATTTACATTTAAAATAAGAAAACACAATTATATTGTTTTATTTCAAGGACATATTATCTAATTATCTTATTTTAAGAGTAAAAATACTCATTCCATTGTTAAATAATCGTATTTACCTACTGAAATTAAGGGTAAATACACTTAATTTAAGAAATGTTTACTTATTTGTAGATCGTTTTTCCAGGTCAGCATTGGTTAGACTCTTTGCCAATCAAAGGGACCTGGAAGTGAACATGCTGCTGAGATCAGCTGTTCTTTTAGGATGAATGGGTGGCTAGCTTACATCGCTAATGCCTGAACACAGGTTTGGTTTGAGACCCCCTGCTGTGTAAACCGCTTGTCTTCAAGTGTTCCCAGCCCACTAGTGTGCTGCTAAAACTCTACTGATACATGTTTTTCTAGCAAAGGAAGGAATGGAGTAGCTTCTATCTGGTGGCAGGAGAACTGGATACTCTCAGAGGATTTCTTATTTCCTGCCTCACAGCCAAGAATTGCAGAACAAAAAAATAAAAAAGTGGGATTGAAAATTAACCATTTCCTCCAAGAGAAAAACAACCCTGCTTTGAAACAAGGTGGTGGTGGTATGATGCTGGGGCATTAGTTAGAGTTGATGGGAGATAATCCAGTCCATTAGTCTAAGAACAAATGTTAGAGTCTGGAAGAGACTGAGGCAGAGGTTCACCTTCCAGAGGAGCCCAGTCCACAGGGCCCATCCCCCCACTGTTATGAGACGGCATTTAGACGGTCTGCTACACTTTGTAGGTTTCAGATAGTAATCTATGATTATGTATTGCTCTATATTTATAAAACTCACTGATTTCATGAGTGGAAGATGGAAAACTGCTCAATAGAGTATGAATACTTCTTGAACTAAATTGTCAAGAGATAACAGCCTCCAAGTCATTAGACGTCCCTCCGATCACGACTGCAGGAGCGATTTGGACAGACATCCTGCTCCAAACACTGGAACTATTAACCCCTCCCCCTCTTTCAGACGACCTCACCTCATCCACAAATACCATCCCTCTGCTGTCAGCAGAGAACATCTAAGGCCTTCGCTCCAATCCTCACACCTTCTGCACAACTCTGCTTCAGTTTATGATCAGAAAGCCGTGTGGAGACAGACCAAAGTAGCCGAGCGCTGCAGCAGAGCAGCCCTGCCGTCCCTGCAGGACGTTTTCCTCCAGCGCTGCAGGACCAGAGCAATTACAATCATTAAGCAACTTTCCTGCCGACTGATCTCAGCCAAATGGTTCCGTTGCCTGATGACTAGAACCGAGAGAACATTAGAGCTTGTTGCCACAGATTATTAGGCTTCTAATCAGAATGTGCGCAGCAGCTGCAAACTCTTAGCTGTTAAGCATTTTGCTTTATGGGTTTTCCTGTTGATAGCTGCAAACGATACATAAACTCAGTTCTTAGATCTGATTTTATTTTAATGTATTTTATCATCATTTTATTTTTCTTGGGCTTCGTTGTATCTAAGCTGCATTTTCCTGCTGTGGTAATAAATAAAATAGGCTTCTCTATTTCTTTCATCACGTCTATAACTATACCACAACAATTTATGCTATTAAACTTTCTTGCATTTTTTATCTGCATATCCACATTTATCCCATCTTGCTCTCCAATGTCGGGGTCGGGGTGGGGTGGGGGGGAGTGTGTTGTTAAAGTAATTAATCCCGTGTTAGTTTTCACCTTTTCTCCCTACATGAGTGTGACCACCCAGTGGCTAAATGCATAAGCGGGTAGATTTAAAGCTAATAATCTGAGTGACCTATGCACACCTGCCTGAACCAGCCCTGCTGAAAAGTAGCTTATTAAAATGATAATGCAAATCTAGTGCAAATTAATTTCCTCTAATCTGACATACACTTACACATCAGCGGTTACGCTGCAGTGAGCGCTCAGACAAGCTACAAGGTGTACATTACAGCAGGCGCTTGATACCAATTAGTGATTCAGAGCACACACAGCGCGCTACACGGGTTCACAGACAGACGACAAAACGCCTCGACTTTAGCTCCACATCTTTAATGCAGGAAGAACGATTCAATTCAGTTTATTTCTATAGCGCCAATTCACAACACATGTCATCCCAAGGCCCTTTACAGTTCATCAGATCATCCAGTCAGATTGACTCAAAGTTTTCTATCTAAGGAAAACCAGTTGACTGCATCATCTCATTGACTCTTCAGCAATCCCTCACACTAAGCATGCTTGTAGTGACAGTGGAGAGGAAAAACTCCCTTTTAACAGGAAGAAACCTCCAGCAGAACCAGGCTCAGTGTGAGCGGCCATCTGCTGAGGCTGACTGGGGTTCAAGGAGACAGAAGCAGACATAGAAAAAGCAACTGTAAAAGACGGCCCCGTCCATGAAACACACAGCCAGGCAGACGAGCTCCGAGCCAGCTCCCATGTCAGAGGATGAAGAGAGCACATCCAGTTAGTCACAGTCAGAGAAACAGGACTACACTGGAAAACAGGCCGATCTCCAACATCTAGAAACAAAGGTGTTGATGGCAGCAGCACAGCTGATATTTCTCTCCAGGATGGAGTCACAGCCAAACAGGAACAGACCAGATGAAGCTACTATGAGAAAAAGCTGAGAGAGCAGAACGTTAGAGATTGAACTAACAGATTCTGCAGAGTGGGAGAATAGAGAGAGAATGAAGCAGAATGATGAAATAGGGGTCCCTATGTCCTCCAGCAGTCTAAGCCTATAGCAGCATAACTATAGAGATAGCTCAGGATAACCTGAGCCACTCTAACTATAAGCTTTATCAAAAAGGAAAGTTTTAAGCCTAGCCTTAAAAGTAGACAGGGTGTCTGCCTCACGGACTAAAACTGGTAGTTGGTTCCACAGGAGAGGAGCCTGATAACTAAAAGATCTGCCTCCCATTCTACTTTTAGAAATTCTAGGAACCACTAGTAAACCTGCAGATTGAGAGTGAAGTGCTCTGTTAAGAACTTTGTTAGGAACAATCAGATCTCTGATGCAATTATAAGGTTCAACAATGAGTTCTTCATTTTCACCTATGAAACCTTCTACATCTTTTAAGGCCTTTTTTTTTTTGAGGGATGAGGTGAGTTTGGTTTAAAACGGACCCTGTGTCTGACGGCAGCGATTAAACATTTGCTTCTATTCCAGTTTTATCGAGTCTGTGCATAAATAAATGCAACAACATGGGCAGGCTGCCGGCCTTTGACACCCGCACTTCATTAGTACGTCACATCGGCCGCTGAGCTACACAGCCAGGTTGTCACTCTGGGGGTCACTGTGCTGATTCAAGTCGATATGCAGTCTGTTTCCTACTGTCTCCTTTTTTAATCTTTTCTGACATTATTTTCCTGCTCTTAAGAACTGCAGCTTAAAGACTGCAACAGTGATCCTAACGCACTTTAAAACTTCCTGAATGTTTCTCACAGCCTTCCTGTTAAGGTTTCCATTGCTGTGCGATTCAAAAAGGCCATTATTGTTATTAATTTATTTGACAGGGACAGTGTACATTAATAAGCATTCCTGCAAATCCACCAGAGTTATCCAAAAGCTTATTTTTCATCTGTTGTCCCTGAACAGATCTTAAAATTCTCCCTAAAACACAAATAGGACTTTTTCAGTGAACAATACAAATTTAAAAAGGAATAAAAACGTTTATAACTCTTAAAAACTTGTTTAAAAAATACAAAAATAATGTTCGCTAGACTGCAGATTTTAGGTTAATAATTCAGCTTTTATAAAACATGTGGATTATATTCAGGAGTGCAGAATCTGTTCCACAGTGGGATCTCCAGAGTCAAACCAAATTAAAACTGAATGATCCACTCCATCTCCTTTGGCCTAATCCCCCTTACAGTCTCTGTCCTGATGTCCAGATTAAACAATCTATCTGGTAGATTATTAGAAGTGGCTGATTTTATTTTCAAACACCATGTAATATGTCCATCAGCAGACATTATAAATGATGTAAAGCATGCAGCATCTCATGCTGACGACCAGAAGAGATTTTCACTGTTTTCTTGTTTCAAAGGGAATTCTATTTTTTGCTGGTTTATTAAAGGAGAAATAAAACAGAATCAAATGTTAAATCAGCCATCCCTCCTCCCCATCTGTCTCCAGTGGACTGTATAGACCCCAGTTGTTCGGCCCATGGAGTGTGTATCCACGGGGAATGTCACTGCCAGCCAGGATGGGGTGGCGCCAGCTGTGAGATCGCTAAGGCCTTGTGTCCGGACCAGTGCTCAGGCCATGGGACCTACAATGCAGAGACCGGGACGTGTGCATGTGACCAGAACTGGACGGGACCAGACTGCTCTTTAGGTGGGTCAGCTGCTTCTGTTTGCCTCCCTTTCAGTTGGTTCAGTTTCCCTGCAAATAATCTACACATAAACTGTGATTTTATTTTATAACATGGCTGTATAAATCAAATATGATCAGCATTTTATTCTGTGTAGCTTTTCTCCTCTGAGCCAAACCTGAAGGTTTATCTGCAGGGTGTTCTAATCTGCATTAAATGGAGTGCTGAAACAGTGAACCTGAACAGCAGGCTGGACTTCTTTCACTCAGTCAGACATTTTGAAACATTTGGTTAAGATAATAGAAAAACTTTAAACAAAATCATGTCTTTTTTTCTCATTTTAAATAGAAATCATTTTATTCAACTGGTAAATTGTTTTAGTTACCTGTTTAAATCAAGAGGAAATGACTTATATTTCAGTTTTTGCAGTATTCTGTGCTTTCAGGTATTGAGTAATGTGGATTTAATGTGATTGTTTATTCCTATTTTTATTGACTCTTGTTACAAGTCATTTGATATTTGTGATGAAACAAATGCAGAATTATTAGTCAAATTTATTTTAATCCAGGTGAAGGAAAATCATAGAAAGCTACAGGAAGCTTAAGTGTGTTTATTGTATTTGAAACATTTAAAATACGACTTTCATTTCATAAAAACCCTGATATGAATGACAAAAAATAGATAAATCAATGCTCAATATGCAAGAAAAGAAAAAGAACTGTACCTATTAACAAAGAGAGGTTAACATTTTAGTCCTAAAAGTAATAGCAGAATTAAAACTGGACCTTTACTTAACATTTGTAGAAAAGCTTCAATTTCAATATTCTTCTAGTTTTATAGTTAAACCCCGTATTTGTCACCTCTGACACAATTAGGCTGAAATTCAGTTTGACCGACATGTTTGTAACGACTAGAGCTGATATGAATGGTTCGGATGGGCTGGAGATGAGGGTGATGGTAAAGAGGGCCTCTGAACTCATCACCAATGATGAACTAATAAATACCAGAGGAAACATACAGCGATACGACGGAGGGCCAGGCTAGAGATTTTTTTTTTTATTTCAAGAATAAAGTCGTAATACTTATATATTAAAGTCATAAAATTACAAGAAGAAAGTTGTAATATTATGAGAATGAAGTCATCATACCACAACCCGTTTCATAAAGAAAGCTTTGAGCTCTGACCTGCCGATGACGGACGACCAGCTCCACCAATCAGCAACCAGAGTCCACTTTGACTCAGGTATACTGATAATAATGTGATGCTAAAACGCTTAATATTTCCTTATTTGTTAAATCAATCCCTAAGCATAGGGTCACAAGATGCTCGACATTCCTCATTTATGAATAAATCCTTGTTTTACGTTGTGTTATATTTTAAACGATACTTGATTCCAATGAGGAAAAAAACTTAAAAATCCTTATATCTAATCCTTCTTTAGATATAAATAATTTGAGTATAAATATTTTTTTACTTTTCTCTGTTTTGAAAAAAAAATTCAACTGAATTCGATGTACCTGTTTTTGTGCAGAGAATATTATTTTTTTTTTTTTATAGTTTTTATCAATTAATTCCAGCTCTCGTTAAATGCCAGTCGTTGGCTAAAACCTTTTTTAAGCACACATATAGAGCCTACTTTATATCTTGTTTTAAAGCCTTAAACTCAGGTAATGTAGCGTAAGACAGGTTTATTTCTGCAGCACCTTTTAGCCATAAAACATCTCAAAGAGTGAACCTTTTTTCTAGAGGAGTTATTGTGTCTTCAGCTGTTGTCCTCTGCTGTTTGCTGCTTGGTTCTTGGGTTAGAGACGTTTCTCCTAACTGCTGTTTGTTGAAGGGTTCTTCACATTAACTGCCTTCCTAGACATGAAAGAGGAGATATTTCCAGGTAGTCCGTTTCCTCTCATTTCCATCAGCACTCTGCTTGGCCGTGCTGGTTGGCTGCCTGTCAGTCTCATCACTGCTTTAGATCATCTTTAATATCAGTATGCAGCATCTACATCCTCATTCACTTTAAGCCGATGCATTTTTTAATTCCATAGCAACTATATTCTGGAGAAATTTGATAATTTAAAGATTTTTTTAAACCTTTCTGTAGTTTTTGAAGAATGAAAGCAATTTAAAATTTGTAAGGAAGTCATATTTAAATGTCAAATCATTCTGGTTTAAACATGTATATAAATGTTTCTTTATCAGACTATATTGTCCCAAAATTTAGAACATTTTTTTTTTTTTTTT